ATAAATAACTTTCGTAGCTAAAACCACCAGAAAAATGTCACACCCATTCATCAAATTCCACTTTAGAACCATGTGTGATTTGAAAGGAAATCTACTTACATATGGCAATTCCTTTTACAGAATGTTATTTATGAAAGCTAACTGCATTGAGAAAATGTGTTTTTTTAGGACTTAAAAAAAATTAACTACATATTTACATATATACACACATTAAACAGTATATAAACAAAAATACTGAAAAAGAGAAATTCTTTATCACGCAAGAACAAAAAATGTTCTAGTCCAGAAATAAAAAAGGGTGAACCTTTATTTAGCTGCTCTGAAAAGATAAAAAAAATCTAGTAAAGACTAATTTTTGTAACATTTATTTATCACCATTAACAAAAATGATTGCTGTCTTGTGGACTAGGACATTAAGGAGGGCTTTGGCTCAGTTGCAAACTGATAAATTTGGTTGGGAGATGTCAGTTCAGAACAGTTAACACAAACCATAAGGTCCTTCAAATTTAAGTTCTCGAGAAACTAAGAAAAAGGTGGATAAATACTGTACACTGCATTGAAACAGAAGAGGCAAAGAACTGCTTAAAAGGAACATATAATTGGTTATTATTTGCATGGCAACAGCCCAGAATAAGAGGTGCATAGCAAAAGGGACTGGGGTGGGCGTGGGGAATTGTACAACAATGAAATTTTTTTTCAAAGAGAAAATTAAACTGGGGATAGTGGTGGGCAGGGAGAAAAATGGGCAACAGTGAATGAATGGAAATCCAAGTTCTCTATAAACTTTCATTAAAATCTCAAGAAAAAAAATTGAAGTTCTCAAAAAACCTATCTTTTCTTTTTTGAAAGCTACCATAATCATAAAAAAAAAGTGTGTATTTACCTTAACCTCTGGCTCTTTCTCACATTCTTCAGTATATAAATCATAAAGTTTTTGAAATATAGATTTCCTAAAATAGAACAAAAAAAAAACTAACAATGAGACAACAGACAAAATGTTAATAATTCATTATGAAATGTTACTGAAAACATTTCTTTAGAACCTTAACATAAATGTAAGAATTTTTAATATATGCAAATACCCAATATAATCTTCTGACTCAGTAACAACTAAGAATTTAGTAAAAAGTGGTGGCTATCATTACTGTAAATTCAAAGAATAGAAGATGCCTTCAAGAGGGATACCTACTTAAAAAACAAAAAACAAAAGCCCCAACAACAAAAAAACGAGAAAACAAAAAAACGCATACCTTCCACCAGGTAAGTATTTCCTTTTAGGAGGTCTCTGTCGGGCACTTTCAATAATATACTAGAACACAATATAACAGAACAATTTATAAACATAACTCGCCTTTGAATGTGAAGGAATATACCTCTAAAACATCTATAAGGCTAACCATCCATAAGACACTCAAGTTTTTGATTTCTATGAGACGGTACCTTGCACGGAAAACGACTTAACTTTTAAATATATTTCACAAATAAGTTAAAATTTATACTGCACTAAAATACATCCTAATACACTTATTCCTCACCTCTGAGCATGGTCAGATAAGGCCATGTGAAAACTGGCATTCTATAAAAATGGAGGAATTTTTTTCCTGTTTCCAACCCATCTATTTGTCTAATTTCTTTCATTTAGAAAATACGATCATGGAAATATTAACAGCTATGATTTACTGATGTGCTCCTCTCTATTATGAGTCCAGCTATGGAGGAGAAAAAGGAAAATGCGTAGCTGTGTAACAACAAGGCCCACAGCTTACCCACTGCTCCTGTACTGGGTCAGAGGTTCCCTCTCAGAGCCACCTCCACGCCCACTCACTCCCTCAAGCTTCCCTTTCACAATCCTGGAGCCTGCTCTATCTTCTCTGGACCTGGCAAGTCAGTGACGGGCTTCCTGAATGAAGGCTTTTGGCCCAGACCTACTGGAGCCATGGAATACCACGAAACTCACATGCATATACTCAGAATACTCCGGTGTCCCTTCCTTCCCACAGTGATTCTGAGTTGCAGAGCCTCAGGCCACATGGACGCCGAGAAACCAGACCAGCTGGCTCAGTGCTGCCTGTATAGCGCCTGGAGACCCTCTCCTCCAGGAGGGGGCGCTCTGCCAAGCCTGATGACTCACTCACTGATGCACACAGGCTGATGAGATTTTTTAAAACTATTGTCTTTATGCGTCCGAGGACTCTCCTTCATAGGGTCACTATGAGTCACCTGCGACTCGACGGCACTTAACAACAGCAACAACACTGTCTTAATAATATCTGGTAACAAGATTATCAATAAGTAAGGATTAGATAGAATGCTATCAGCAAAACCGGAACCATCCAGAACATGCCAGACATATCCTAAGTACATTTTACCCTTGTTCAGAATATACATTTAAAATAATACTGTATCTAACAGAACTCTGTACTTTTAGCTCTTTTCCTCCTTCAATTAAACAATTAGAAAGCCTGACAAATAGAATTTTAGAAATTGTTGTCATTCAAATACCTCTTACAAACATGATTTATTTTTGCATATTCACAGCAAGGCTATTTGCATACATGTCCTAATATATAAAAATTATCTTAAAACTCAGTTTCTGTCAGTTAAAGACTACTTTTAATGTGTAACCTTACCTCTGCACGATCCAAAGCTAGTTCTAAAGCTTGTTGCTGCAAAAAGTAAATAGTGTATTTGGTAATATTAGTTATTTTGACAATAAATATCTGAATTTATTTTCTATATTTCTAAGTATTTTAAACAATTCTATTTTAGAAAATGGGTCTAACATTTCTTCTTAACATGAACTAAACTGGCAGTACCAGGCAGTTAATTATGGCAAAATATACAGTAAAAAAATACTTCTATCAGTTCTACAGTTAGTGTCTGAGTGGGGGACAGAGAAGGTTGCTTGTGTTGAAGTGGATTCCAAACTCATGCCAAACCTATGAATGCAACCAAAAATCCTGCACAGTGTTTTCAAGGCTGAGTGAGCGGATCCCCAGGCTTGTCTTCCAAGCAGACAAGCCTGATCTTATTCCATGTTTTCAGAAAAGCACAATTCCAGGAAACTATACTGGCTATCAGGTACTAAAACAAAGACAACTCTTCTGTTTTCTAAGAACAGCGAGTCGTGGTTCGGCAGCTAACCTTCAACTTAGAAATGTCCAATATATATGTAATGAACTTACAACAGTTTCGAGCTCAGTGTCTAGAAGGAATGTGGTAAATGTTGGCATAACTACGTCACAACACATTAAAGATGTCACCAAGTATACATGTACATCATTATGGTAGGTAACACTAAGAAAGAAAAAATAAAAATGTTGACAGCTGTAATGTCAATGACTATAAACTCAGCTATATTGAGTTCAGGGACTTTAAGGTATTTAAAAAAAAAGAACTGATAAAAAAGATTATTTTACTGAATGTTAAGGTGAGAGATCTACTAGTAAATCATTTGAGAAGCTTAACTGTATGAAGAAAGTGGCACTGGACTGGATGGATATTCATCAATAACCTGCATTATGTAACTTTGCTTGCAAAAAGTAAGACAGACTAGAAGCAGTGAAGATTAAGACAAAGATGCCCAAAGCCTCTGCCATGGGTTACAGCTCAGTATCAACAAAAAGTTTTACCCCTAGAGGAACAGGTGACAGGGTAACAGAGAACAGACAGAAGTTGGCAATGTCTTTCATTTCCTTGGATCCATAATCAACATCTATGGCAGCAGCAGTTAAAAAATTAAGATGTGCTGCTTCAGGGCAATCTTCTGTCAAAAACCTCTCCCAAGGGCTAAAGAGCAAGGACATCAGTTAACAAACTGTGTGCGCCTGATTAGCTGCTTCTTAAGCATCTCAAAGAATAATGAATAAGCAAGAATGAAGAATGAACACCTTCAAGAATTACGGTATTACACAAGAGGACAGAGTGTAGCATGGACTGTGCCAAAGAATGAAATCTGTCCTGGAGGACATTGCAGCACTCCTGAGGAGGCGGGGTCAGTCCTTGGGAAAGACATTGTGCTGGGAAAGGTAAGAGTGTCAGTAGGAGACAGGAGGACCCTCAATGGTGGGCAAACACCACAGTGGAGTTCAACATGCCAGATCATGAGGATGGTGTAGAAAAGGGGAGAACCAGTTCTTTTGTTCACAGGTCACCAGGAGTCACAGTGATTGAAGAACAGTACATTCCTAGGGTTGAAGGGTTGTTGCACAAGTTGATGGGTAGATAAAGGAAATGGGAACGATCTGGTGTGGAAAAACAATGTCTATTAACTCTGTAAGTAAACCAGTACAAAATAAAAATTTCTTTTAAATTTCATTTTTCCCCCCAAGCAGACTTCTATCCTGCGTTAATTTCTTGGAAATAGTAATTTTTAAAATCTTTTTTAAAATTAATTTTGATGAAAATTTAGAGACTTTGGATTTCCATTCATTCATTCTTTTCTCCCTACCTATCCCTCCCCCAATAATACACTCTTCTCTTTGAAAAGAAAAAGGAAAGATTCCCCATTGTTTTAAAATCCCTCCTCGGAGATCCACTCCACAATGCATCCTTTGTTCTGGACTCTTGTCATGACAATAATACCTAATCAAACATCCCTTTTAAACAGTTTTCTCCCTCATCTGTTTCAATGCAGTATACATTATTGATCCCATCTTTCTCAGTCTCCTCCCATCCCGATGCCAGTCCTGTTTTACAACAGTGGCACAATGCAGTTTTTGTCCCTGTGTGAATGAGATACTTCACTCAGCATAATGTCCTCCAGGATCACCCATTTTGATTAATATTGCATGAGTTCCTTGTTTTTCAATGCAGCATAGTATTCCATTGTGTGAATATACCACAGCTTCTCTATCCATTCGTTTGTTCATGGGCACTTAGGTTGTTTCCAACTCCTTGCTATTGTGAACAAAGGTGCGATAAACATTGGTGTGCATAGGAAACCGTAATTTTAAGAAAAATGAAGAAACAGAAAGTTAACTGGTATTGCTTCATTTGTAAAATTTTATTTTAACTATGTAAGAATAAACAAACCCACCAGGCTCTAAACCAGACTGAATCAAGTTAATGGTTTATCGTTCTAGTTTTCTGGCTTAGCACCTGAGTTACCGATTTTTTTTTTTTTAAATTTATTTTTATTACAAAGACTAAGGTTCTTCCCCTTCCCCCGCCCCCCAGGATCTTCTATTTCAACCTGGCAAGGTGCACAGGATAAAAATTCTCACTATTCACCAAAATCTCTGACTGGGTAGGTTAAGATAAAAAGGGGGGGGGGGCGGAATTCTCATCCTTCGGGAATGCACGCAAAGGGTTAAAGGACCCTTATACATCGAGAAGATGGAAAACCCAAGACTACTTAAAAATTGGAACTTGTACAAAAGTGCGTTTATCTGTTCTGCTTGGATGCATTCTTAAAGTACTTTGTAAAAATGAAAATAAAAACCAAAACCTAAACCCAAAGTCCTTTTAGTATGAGCAAAGAGTGCAATGAATGAAAACAAAAACTCCCAGAGTCTAAAATTTGCCATTGTTTCAAAGGCTCAGTTCAAATAAGTTTGCTAAAATTTATTTTAAAAAGTTAGAAAGAGCAGATTCTGTGCAAAACTTGGTTCCTAGGATCCAAGACAAGATTTTTCAGAATCAGTAATAAAAACTTTGTCTAACTCTGAGAAGAATGGGAATTCCAGTACACTTCTGTTTATGTCAAACCTATACCTGGAGCAGGAGGCAACCATCAGAATAGAGCAAAGAAACTCTGTGTGGCTCAAAATCAGGAAAGATGCATGCCAGGGATGCAACCTTTCGCCACACCTTTTTAATCTATATGCTGGGAAGGCTGGGCTCTCTGAGGAGGAATGTGGCATCAAGATTAGAGGAAGACTCATCAACAACCTGCATTATGCAAATAACACAACACTGCTTGCTGAATCTGAAGAGCATCTGAGTGAGGCATGTGCTGCAGAAGGTCGACCGCAGCCTTTACTATGGTTTGAAGCTCACCATCAAGAAAACAAAAGATTCTTGGCGAGCTCTGGTGGCCTAGTGGCAGGAAACTGCACTGCAATCCCAGAGGTGCACGGTTCAAATCCACCAGATGCTCTGCTGAAGAAAGAGGAACAATCGCCTCCTGTACCGGTATACACACAAAATAAATAAATAAATAAAAATTAAAAAAAAAAACAAAAAAAAACAAAAGATTCTCACCACTGGGTCAAACAACAGCATCATGATAGAGAAGAGATTGAGACTGTTAATAGTTCAGCTTGCTTGGCTTCACAATCAACACTCTTGGTACCAGCAGCCAGAAAATCAAAAGGTGAACTGCACTGGCAAACTGCTGTCAGGGACATCTCCAAAGTACTGAAGAGCAATGATGTCAGTCTAGAAATTCAGGTGTGCCTAATCCAGGCCATGACCGTCACAATAACTTGTTATGCATCAAAGAGCTGGACAAGGATGACAGAAGAACTGATGCCTTTAAGTTGTAGTGCTGGAGAAAAGTACTGACTATACCATAGACTGCTAAGAGAACAAACAGGTTTGTCCCAGAGAGGGTGAAACCAGGCTGCTCCTTGGAAGCAAGGATTTTGAAGCTCCGTCTGACACACTTTGGGCATCTTGCAAGGAGAGACTGGTCCTGGGAGAGTGACATCATGCTTGGAAAGATGGAGGGACAGTGCAAGAGAGGAAGACCTTGGATGAGATGGACTGACTTGGGACTGGAGTTAACGGGACAGGTGTGTCAGAGACAATGGAACTGGCACAAGATAGAGCTGAGGTCAGAGCTGCTATACATAGGGTCACTATGAATGGAGTAGACTTGATGGCACACATAATGATACTATAACAACCACCACCATGAAAATACAATTCTTGATACATAACCATCTTTTAATTGTTTTGGCCATGAAGTCTTAAAATAAATGTCTATCAAAAAGCTAAGTAAGAAGAGTCAAATATACTAAAGGATAATTTTAAAAAGCCAATCTTTCTCAAGTAAGACTGTCTTCCAAAATGAAACTTGAGAAAGTCTAGTTAGATACATATGTACCACTGATTCACAACCTCCTTTAAATAATTAAAACAGGAAAATCAGGTAACGAGAGTGTAAACTACAAGGGAAGGGTAAAACTCCAGTGTGATAGCACCATTTTTTAGCAAGTGGGCAGGAATGGATAGGCAAGAGCCTAAGAGAAAATTACGTCTTATAAGGTTTGGTAATGTTAATTTAGTCTCTCAATGGCAAATGCTATTTCCAGTTTACAACAGCACTAAATGGAGCAACAATGAATAAAAAACCAAAACACAACAACAACAACAAAAAAGCAGAAAAAAATTTTTTCCTTTAACTTATTTGTGACAGAAGTTAATGCCTGAAGTATATGTGAGCTCGTAAGTCAGTATTTTCATAATATGAAAATGAGTACTGATGTTATTTAACGTGAGTGATGCCAGCAATCAATTGGTAACTAGCTGTTCATTTGGGTTTGTTTTTTTTTAAACAACAAAAAACAACAAGCCAAAAACTTTATTTCACCACTGTCATCTAAAGTATGATTTTATCAAGCATAAAGGCATTTTTTACAGTTCTTTTTTTTTTTTTAATTTTATTATTTTGTGTGCGTGTACCATCAAATCAGATCTGACTGGCACAGGAGGAGATTGTCCCTCCTTCTCCAGCAGAGCATCTGGTGGATTCGAACCGTGTTCCTCTGGGATTGCAGTGCAGCTTCTTGCCACTAGGCCACCAAAGCTCCCCTCATTTTTTACAGTTCTATGTGACAGGAAATTCAAAGTAGAAACATCCACAGGGACAAATTAGATAAAATCAAATAATGAATTTTTTTCAATATGTAAACTATACATCTAAATAAATTGTGGCACCAATTAGATAAATTAAAATCAAACATCTGGAATTTTTTTCAACATGGAAACTATACTTCTAAATAAATGGTGGCAGGACCTCAATGCTTCATTACTTATAGACCATATTAGTTATTTTCAAGACTTAAAAATCCTGAGTATTCAGATATCTTTTGTTCGGTTTAGCAGTACAATTAAGTATTACCTAATCTATAGTCTTCCTCTAGATACTTCACCAAACTATATGATTCAGGAAGGTATTTAGCTTTGTATTACATTTTTCTCACTCCAGTTACAACCTACAAAGGAATTAACATTAACATGCTGATGAGAACTGCTGGTTCCTTTTGAACAATGTGCAATATTCTTT